GCGACGAAAACTCAGTAAAGTCGAAACTAATTTCGCTAGATTAATATAAATCGAACATTAAAATTATTTTAATTATATTACAACATCTTATCATTCGCTCATCTTTTTATATATAATTCTATTTATAATTCTAAGGCCGTCAATTTTTATATATAATTCTCTTATTGTGTTTTCAATAACGAGCAGAATATTATTATTAATCAAATAAATTTTTACTCAATAAAAAAAATAATAATTAAATAAAATTAATGATTTTTGTATGAAATAAATACATTTACATTTAATAAATATTTACTTAGAATTATTCAAACAAGTATTTATTAAACTTTAGTATTTTTTCAATGTAAATCGTGCACTTCTGAGGTTCGATTGTGCATCACACAACTTGGTGAAAATTACAAAAATGAGCAAATTGACTAGGCATGTTGATCAATAAAATTATAAAATTATATATTCTAGCATATTCGCTCATTTTTATAATTTTCATCATCTAAATTCTTTATGGAGTCGTTACAATCGTTATTAATTTCCGTTATTTTAAGGAAATTTCTGTTAAAACGGTAAATAGGAGATATAATAAAATAGTAAAACAAACAATAGCAAGCAATAAAATAATAAGAAATAGATATAAATTGAAACACACGTCATGTTCGTGGCGACAGTAGAAAAGGTTCGTTTATAATCAGACGCCGCTTTCATAACAACCTTCAGGAACATCAAAACAAAATATTTTTTATCGTCAGTCTTTGATATCGTGGTAATTTGTAATAATATCTCAAATGGAAGAAAATAAAATAAGATAGAATTAATTTAAGATATAATAAAATAGATAAATTGGGATTCTTTATAGTAACTCTTCATAAAAAATCTACTACATCTGTCAATTCTATAAAATTTTCGTTTTTAAATAAATAAATTTACTGATGCAAGTATTTTTTAAAAAAAGATCAAAAAATAAGGAGAGATTTCGGAGAAAATAACCAAAATAACTAATAACCCAAAATAACTAATAACTTGAATAAATATATTCGCGCCCCGATTAAAACTTCAGTTTCGACATGTCTTTAATAATTGGCTACGTTTGTAAAATAATTCATTCAAGCATGAAAATCTTTTCTTTAATCTTTTTTATACTATAACTTCATCAAATAGAAATTTCGATAGAAAGTTTTTTTTAATTCTTTCATGTAATTGAATCCTGGTTCAGCGTGACTTCGAAAGTTAACTTTTAACACGCGCCTAACTTCAAATTCTTCTCTTTATCTCCTTTTTTTTCTCTTCTTTCGGAATCTTGGACGCGCGTGTTGTATTTTATCAATCACGTTTTCAGCCTTGCCATTATCGTCATCGACGGGATTAGTAAACCGTGCCCGATAAACGCATATCAACTCGTTTCATCTTCCAATATTTTGAATTACCTGACCTGATGACCTTTTCTAATTAATGAATTAAATTCGCAATGAGCAAACCGCGTTGTCGCCGCGGCGCTTTGTAATTCCGATACGCCACTTCGCGGCGCCGACGGCGACAGCCACAACAATTATCTGATACGCACGGTGCGGCCAATAATGCGCATCGTTTGTTCCTCCAATTAGTGGATTGTGAAACGGACCACGGGTGGCGAGTTTTACTCGTGGTGGGCTTCATTTTTCATTTAGTTCTCTCTCGCCGTCTCCCCTTTACCAATGTACTTGCATCCGATGTCTGTATTCCTTTCGCTGACCCTTTATCACACTACTCCTCCATCGGGACGGAAGGAATCTTGGTATTCCGGTTACTTTTGCATTGCACAGTAAATTAGTAGACACAAAGTCCGTTTACCATAAATACATTCTAAAAAAAGGTTGGTGTTGATTTGACATTATTTTTTGTTTTTTTTATATAAAATTTTTTCTTTCTTTCTATATAATTTTTATTCTTACTTTATTTTTCTTTTTATATAATTATAATTCTCACTACATATTGGAGTTAATATTAATAGCGATATTTTTAATATTAATAATAATTCACATCATATTGGTGTTAATATTAATAAAAAATAAACAAAATTAGAAACAAAAGAATTAAAAATTAAAAAATAGAATAAAATAATGAAAAACATTGTTACATCCCGATAAAATCCTCTCTTTTCTTATTATAAATATATGATTTATCTTTACCTTATCTTTATCTTATCTCTAGTTTAATATTTCGTCTTAGTTTTAATATGTCCCTATTTTATCTTTATCTCAAAATCTTATCATACCTTTTATATATTGTAAAATTCTTTTCCCTTTTATAGAAGGGTATATTTAGTTCCTTTATTTAAACATTCAAACCAACAGACAGCTCACGTTTGTATACTTATGCGTCACATAGATAAAGAATATCTATTCTACAATCTTTCCTTTTCTTTTGAAGACCCTTTTTCTAAAATAACAATTAACCAATAGCATATATGCCTAATAATTAAGTATTGTAGTATTATACAATATATTAAGTAGTATTATATATTGAATAGTATTATATATTAAATAGTATTATATATTAAGACCTTCCCGAATACAAGGGTGAATATCTTTATTTTTTTCCTATCTTTCTTTTTTTTCTTTTTCCCAATAAAATTAAAACTAATTTAAATTTATAATATTTCATTACTTCGCCTCGCATAAGGACGTTAATTAAGAAGATGAAATTTTTATTTTTAACATAAAAATAAAACTTAGATTCGTAGTGTCGAGAGTAGGGCTTACGCGGAGCATTGTTACGCTGTCTTATCTTAAGAAAATAAGTACGAGTGTAAGCCTTACCAAAATCTTGAAAAGTGTTGATTGATTCTGGGAAGCCACCCCTATACTCTTTGCCAGAATATAAAAGAACTGCAAAAGAAAGTCAGTCAGTCAGTAGAAAAGTATAATAATCTCGGAATAGAGTCCGTCACAACAGTCGCCTTCGCAAATAGGAACTATATTCGCACTTCCCTTATATAAGTTATTTCACGTTTTCTTCCGAGGTATATATATATATATATATATATACGTATATATATATAATTACTATTTTTTTCTTTTAAAAATTTAATAAACAATAGTATTAATTTATTGGATCAATTTCAATTTTATTTAAAGCCGCGTGAGCTCCCATATAATCTTCGTAACCCTTGCGAGACCGGAATCTAAATTTCTCCTGCAAATTATTATCTATTCTTTCCTGATAATCATTTTCAATCATCACACAACCTAATCTCCGATCCTCGGGTAAATTGCTTAAATACATTGACCTCAGAAACGGAGGAACCTCAATTTATATCATTACATAAACATAACATCAGGAAGTATCAAACAATTACCAAGCATTTTGCTAACGCGCCATCAAACGTAAAATTCTTAGACGAGTAAATAATATCAAGAAATAAAAAATCACTGTTTACTTTATCGTGACGTAAAATAGTGGAGAAAAAGGAAAGAAGAGATATAAACTTGATTGTTAAATCTTTAGTTGATTAGATGCATTAGCGTTTGTATTATTCGGAATATATTCGGAACAAGAGAATAAAACGTAAAATACGTCGATTGAATTTGTAATTAACGTCAAGGTTATCAATACTGTCGAGGTACAACACTATTTTCAGCAATTTTCTAATTCAAACAAATACAAAAATCTTGCAAACTCATATGATATTTTTTATATTTTTAGACTTGTCTTCAAATACTGTCAAGAATTGACGGCATACGCTGCCATAATTAATAGTTCGATAATAATTAACAATCACTAATAATTGACAATCGATTTTCAATTTGACAAAGTACTTGGTGCCGCGCGATCACCAACTAATGACAACTACACAGAAAAATATGATTCTATTCCTCAGAAAAGTGATTACTCGATTTACTTTTTTCCTTTTAAGTGTACCTTTAACAAAGAATCTTGATAATAATCTTAAAATATATATACCTATTACAAATTTAAAAAAAACACTCGTTTTATTATGTATTTAAAACAGGAATTTATTTTCTCTCGAAAAATATTATAAAATTGATACGAAGAAGCGACTTTATGTTATAAGCCAATCAAATTTGATTTAATTTAACAATCTCGATTAAACTTTAATTAAACTTATTAGCGGATTCAGAATATATTTTAAATAAATTTGATACTTTTGTCAACTTACGGTAGATTTGCGGATACATAAATTTTTGAAATATTTAAAACAAGTCATTATTACTTGCGTACAGTATATATTTTTCTGTGCCTATTCTTGGACAGTGCTTCCCTGACAATCAAAATTCTCTTGTGCAAATTGTCACTCGATTATTTTCGTTTTAAGACGAAGAAAAAACTTGATGTCCAAATTGCATTAATTAATTTACTTTAAATAGAGAAATGATTTAAAATGTGCAAATTAGTAGGTGGGTGATCGGAAATCCTAAAAGAATTTAATTTTATAGCCATATTTTTTACTATTATATTATATTATATATTTAAATTTACATTAATATACTCTTATGAGGTAAAAGATCGTAAAAATAATGAACTTTAAGTCTTTTGAATATTTGGACAATACTTTTTATTTTTTTTTCCAGAATTAGAGAAAATTATACCGGAGATACATTGTGGGTACTCTACCCAATTAAAGGTTAATTGCATTTTCTATTAATATATTTACACTTATATATTATCAATAAATAAATTTCATACTATGAATGCATTTGAATACGGGCATGCCAATAAAGGGCATGACAATAAAGAATAAACTTGGCATGCCCGTATTAAAATGCAACGTCCTAGAATCGTTTCATAGTAATGAAATTTATTTATTGATAATAAAAAAATAGATAGATAATAAAAGATAGATAATAAATAGATAGATAATAAAAGAGAAATATAACAAATTGATTCTATAGGATATAAAAAATTGATCCTATAGGATTATAGGTTGCATCAATTTTTTATATTTCTCTTTCAAATCACTAGAACTAATAAAAGCAGTTTGATTAATTTATTTTTACTCTTGTTCCCAGATTTAGAACGATGCTGTCCGTACAAAGCACAGTTGCCTTGGCATTAATGCTCTTCATCTTGGTGGAATACTCGGCAGCGATGCCGACGACCGACAAAGACAAGGCCAGATTTTTGAACAACGTGAATGTAAGTAAAAAGATAAAATCTCGCGATTCTAAAGATCAGTGTGAGCCGGAAGGACTTGATGTATTTATGCAAAATATTTTTGTAATCCCGCTTTTAAGAAGCAATCGTTTTTTAGAATTATATTCGAAAGCTGGGAAGCCGATGTTCGATGAACGAAGCAAACTCCAAAGCTTTGAATTTATGAAATGATAAATCCGCGAGCGACGCTTCGAATCCCGAGGGATCGTCTTTGGATTTATTTATATTTTCCTGTTCAAGCTCTCACCGCACGATTTTTATTTTCGTCGTAACACACACAGGGATCTAACGTACCTCATACATGTTTAAGGACCGGCTGTTCCATCTTCAAACAAACTATATGTGATAATTTACCTATTAGATAAACAAAAGAGTAAAAGAGCATAAAAGAATAAAAGAGTAAGACATTGAGCTAAAGTTTATCAAAGGATAGAACAACCCAATCTGTCTTTCTAATTTTCGGTAAAATGCACCGATTAAAGTAATTATGTATTGTAAAATCTTTGTTCTAGAGGGTTTACAGGATAGCCCCATATAAATAAAGTCAACAATTGTAAATTTTGAAAAATATTTAACAATAGGGAATAAAAATAAATTTTTCAAAAAGTTACAAAAATCACAAAAAATCGTTTTCTTTTTTCAAAAAATTATTAGTTATAATTGATATAGAGATAAATATAAAAAAAAAACTAAGGAATTAACAGTAAAATTTCTGGTTTCTACAAATGTGCTACGCGAGTTTCAAGCAAAAAGAATATATTTTTCGTTTCACATTAAATAACCACGTTTTTTTAAGGTGTAACAATTCTGAAGATTTTTTTAGAAATCATCTTTTTAAGTTATAATAATTTTTTAAGAGTATGCCACACTTCCGTACTGTAAGGCACGTTTTCACAATATATGATTATCTAAAAATTAAAGATTACCGAGAGATTCATTTAATGAAATTCATTCATGAATTTCTTGGTAATCTTCAACTTTTAGGTAACCATATGATTATTGTAAAAACAGAACTTAAGTGATGATTAATTTTATTGAATGATTGATGAGACATTGCCGGAGCAATTCGCCAAATCGCGAACTCGCGATCCTGTACGCCTCCGGATGATGAAAAAAAAGAATCTGGACCGCTCGAGAGCCCGTCACAGTCCTGAGCTCCAGTGACACATCAAAAATAAAACGAGAGAAAAGGAGGGAGGGGAGGGGGGAAAGGGAAAAAATGAGAAAGGCAAGTCCTGGTTTTTTTTTCACGTAGGATTGCATAGAACTTCCAATTCGACCGGATTGACGGGGGTGTGCGAAATGGACACGGCGACGGGTCCATCTGACAGCTGTCAGAAACGTCTTCCTTTCGCCGTCGCTTTGTAATAAAACGGGGCGAGATTGGAAAACGAGCGGAACGGATATCGCCGCCGCGAGATTACGAGCCCGGCGCGAAAGTTTGTCGACGTTTATACGGAATTCCTCGACCACTCGCAATTTTGATCAAGCTACGTTCCACTTGGTGTCCTTGCGCGTTGCAACACGTTCTATTCTTAAATTCTTTACATTTTTTCGATAAATCATGCCTATTTTCATAAAGTGCCCTAACAAATCTTGATTCTACTATCTGCTTATAGCAAATTGGTGCGCATTGATGCATATTGAGGCCGTTGTTATTGAACTGCTTAATTTGAGTGTAAAATTCAAACATACATATTTTACTTAAAATACAATAACTGTAATATTAATATTTTTGTATTAAATAAAATGTAATTGAGGATTTCACGGTTCAACTATTATATATTTATATTAAACACATATCTTTACGTCAATTTGTAATGATTTTAATATTTGTGTGCAATAAGTGCGCTCAATTGAATTTGCTATTAGACTCTTACACTGTTACAATAAATTCATGTAACCCAGTAAGCACAAAGTAACAGTACTGTAACGTCAATTTCACATTCTGTACAATAATTTATTACATGTACGACGTGTGTTATATTATACTCAAAGTGCGAAATTATAATACTGTATTATATGTTACTGTTTTAGGAAGTTTTCAAAAAAATTAAGTAAAAAAATTACTTGTATTTATTTGAAACAATAATTTGTGAAAATAAGGCTTTAAATATAACTAATTACGGAGCTGAAGTGCGCGCTTATTAATATACGAAGATAATTTTATTTTTAAATTGATCTCGAAAATGGGTGCTTTCCATTTAACACAAGTCGACATAAGTCGACACAAGCGTCATTCTATCCTTGTTGACATTCAGAGAGTGACAAAGATAGAACGGCACTTGTGTCATCAAATGAAAAGCACCCAATATGTAGTTATAGTATAATAGAATATTAAAATTTTTACCATGCACTTCAGTAAAATTAATCAAATTTATTTTAAACTTTATTGTAATTTTATTAATGAACGAGAGAGATTTATATTAAAATTCTGGAGAATACAATATTGTCCCACGACTATCATATTTTCAGGGTAAATTCTAAGAACGAATTCTCTCTCCGTGTACTACTCACGGCCATGTAAACGTAATCTATAATTGATTATATTTAAACCCTTATATCTCAAAAACTTTGAAATAAATGTACATAATTTTTTAGCTTAATTTTTCGAGAACTTTTTTACTGTGATATTCTAATTCGTGAGTTTCGGGGCACCTGTATATAGCTGTATACGTCTTTCCTTTGTTTTTATTTAATTTAAAAAAAGTTCCTGCGAAATTCTTCAAACAAGGGCCGTTCACGTGGCGAAAGCAACGTTACTAACATCAAAGTAAAATTGAGGTATTCAACGGGATGACCCGTTTGTTAAAGCGGAGTTTAAAAAATGTGGGCGAGCGTTTTGCGTAAGCACTGAACTTTCTTGTGCGTCTTAGTCGAAGAAAGTTGAAGTAAGGAAGGATCAAGAAAAAAGAAAAGAAAAATGTTTGCCATTCCCGCAAGAATCGCAAACGTGCACGGTGTCATTATTACGCAACTCGTTTCCTCCGCGATCAATTTGAAAATTCCACTTTGAAAAACTTCCAAGCGCTCGTAATAAAAATATGGTTGTTGGTGATCAGAAACGTGAACTGACGCTAAAGCGAGAAAGAAATGGAAAAATGTGAGAGGACATACTGTAACCGCGAAATCGACAGTCAAAGGATGCCGTATCGACAAATAGTTATGCTGTTACTCGATTTCCCGGCGAACTTCCGGGGAGAATTTCCACGCCACAGCATCTCGCGTCTCGTTCCGCTCCCGTTAAGCCGTAGTCATACTAGCGATTATCAATTGAAGGTATATTTCAGACAGTGTTAAACCGTAATCACACTACGCGGTTATGACCGATAATTGGCAATTACTTTTCGATCAATTGCGATTTTATAATGATTATTTTTTTAACCCACACTCAGAGAAAGGTTTTTTCGATTTCAAGAAATGTTTCTTTGCTATACGGTTAAAGAAAAAATTTCTTCAACTTTGAACGTCATTTCTTTGATTTGAACATAATTTTTTTAAATCAAATAACTTATTTTATTCAAATGAATTATTTGAACCATATAGCAAAAAACATTTCTTTAAATCGAAGAAACCTTTCTGTGAGTGCATCAAAGCAAATCAGTCGCCGATTGCTTTGCTTTGATTGGTTGAAAAATAATCGCTAATTGCAATCGCGGGATCGCTAGTGTGATCACGGCTTAAAGTCGAAATCACACTAACGATTCCACTAGTTTGCTCTGCTTGGTAGAAAAGTAATCGTCAATCACAATTCAATTAGCA